TCCTTGTAGGCCCTTCAGATAGTGAAAAGTTGCTCTGAGGTCTCCACACAACCTTCTCTTCTCCAGGCTAAACAGCCCCAACTTCCTTAGGCTGTCTTCATAGGGGAGATGCTCCAGTCCTCTTCTCGACTTCGTGGCCTCCTCTGGACTTGTTCCAACAGTTCCATGTCCTTCTTATGCTTAGGACACCAGAACTGCATGCAGTATTCCAGGTGGGTCTCACAAGAGCAGAGTAGAGGGGGAGAATCACCTCTTTTCACCTGGTAGCCACACACAATTTAGGAATCAAGCCAGTTTAATAAGGTAATGTTTATTTTACATAGAACAATCTCCAGAGAATATTTAAAAAACCCAATCTAAATACTGATTTTATTGCATTTATTTTCTTACAAAAAAAAATAAAAGACAGGCACAATTTATGTATTCAAATACTTCAAACTGAACAACTGTTAGCTATTCAGATTTCCCCAATACCACTCCAAAGGCTGTAAGAGTAGAAAATGTCATTTTTTTTTTTGCACGAGGCAGTAGTGCATTTAGTAGGAATGAATCACAAAATATATTTTTGTGAAGTTGTTATTGTCGCTTTATAATTACCTATAAAATTTTTTGAATTGCACAATAAGTTTGCTTTGCAATTGACAACTGCCACAAAATAGGCCTAGTATGTAACTAAGTATCTGCTCCAACTATTCCTTAAGAAACAAATTAGGTTTTCTTTTGGTAAATACTTATAAGTCTAGTATGAACTATATTATATATCTGAGGTAATTTTAAAATGTTTCAATAGGAAGAGGCTTATATAGTCAACTAAATTCAATTTCTGCCTACCTTGAAATCCATACAACAATAGCTGAGTGTCCTAAACAATATTTTGATTCAAAAGTACCAACACCAGTGAAATCTGAGACTGTTAAAATGAATCTAATCTCCTGGTTTTCTCTGTCATTATCCATGCTGAGAAGGCACTGTGTACATTCCTCTGAACATTTGGTGTCTTAGGGTTTGTTTTCTTTTAAAGTTAACAAGCGTCCAACAACAAACAAAACACGTTTATAAGCAAAAAAAATAAAATACTGAACAGACTTCCCACTGATTGATGAAGTCCATGACATCTGAAAAACACTCATTTTCCATAGAACTTCTTATTCAACAAGAATATGAGCAAATTCACATTCACTTTAGCTTTATCAAACATTTTCATTACAGCCACACCTTCATACTGCATCTGAAGCAAATCCTGAAAGAAGAAACAAAACCATTAGGGTCTGTCTGAATCCATATGTTGCAGCAACAAGATGGGGCAATTCTTTTTGAGTAATAAAAATCTCCAGGTCCCTCCAGAATTTAAACAATTGCACGAAACAACTGGACACACATAGGAAACATTATATGTCCTCTATATCCCCTATTTTAGACTGTCAGCAACAATAAACCAGAAAAAATACTGTTTTCTGTGTATTTTAATTTTCTGCTGGTATTTCCTGTTTGCCACTGAGCTAATGTGGCATTTGTCTTCATACAGTTGCCCCAATGTAAACATTAACTCAACTCCATGCCCACATCCTATGCAAGTTATATAGGTGTTCCCCAGATGATCTGCTGCTCTGTGCTGGTTGACAAGTTGATTAATGAAATAGTATGTATTTATAGGAAATGCAGCAGCGACTATATAGCAAAGTAACCAAACTATACCTGGAAATGGAGCTGCACTTTTTCCATCTCAACTCCCAAAAACTTTGCTTTGATTTCAAAGTCACCCACTTCTTCTCCAGGTGTGATATCAAACATCACATTCTTAAACCTGGAAACAAGAATAGTAATTAAATACATATGCTGTGCAGTTTTATGGAGTTCAGACAGTTTCAGGGGAAAAGCCTGCAGAACACAGAAGAACTTCGATGCCAAGCAGTGTTGTTGGTGTCCAAAGAATCACCTCATCCCTACTGCAGTGTCTTCTTGGAGTCCTGCTGGTGTACATGTAGAATGAAATACAGAACTCTGAAGACTTTTGTACTGGAAAAAAAAAAAACCCAAAAAACCCCAACCTAAACAAAATCCAAACAAAAAAACCCTAAACAAAACAAAACAGCTGTCGGAAGTTCAATGAACAAATTGGACCAAGCACCCAATGACAAATTGGACCCAGCCAGATTTTTGTTCTGCTGTGCCTGTGTGTCTCCTTGCAGGTACATATTTGCCTCACGTGGCTTCTTCTGCCTGATGAATCCACTTGGAAAAAAAAAAAAGCAACCAATTGGAAGACTTTTCTCCATGCAGAAGGTGGATGGAAGGGTGAAAAGGACAGAAGACTGTAGACTGCAGATGGATGGATACACAAAAGGGGTGTTGAACCACCACATCCATTCACCTTGCCACATTGAGGAAGTGCAGAAAACCAAGTGTTTATTCAGTTATATGATAGTGATTGGTCAGTAAATGAAAAAAACCACAATTACTACGACTGTTTAAAAGGTTGGTTGTGAGCAGTGAGACTGCTGCCAGATGTCTACTGCTTCCATGTGAGGTGGTGCTAAAGTTGGCTTATTCTAGTGTTTTCCCAAGCTAATCACAGAGCTTGGTACAAAGAGAAAAATGAATGATGGCAATTAGACTTTATCACTCTTCTGAATGTAAAAGTCTGAGGTAACATTAGCCGTGGCACAGGAAATTGTGAGGATTTCTTGTATCAAAAGCCAGGCTCCTTAAGAAACTGTCGATTAGAAAATGCATAGGGAATTGTTTTACTTCACCACTTACTGGTTGGTTTGAAGATCTTCAATTTCTAGGATGACACCTTTTTCATGCAGCCTTGCAGCTGTGTACTTTAATGAGGTCTGCTTCAGTTTTTTGCTTCCCTTCACCTCTTCTTTTCCATCCAACTTAATTGACCTGCGTGAATTTCTGTGAAGAGAACAAGCAAAATGGCTATTGATTTGTCTGTCAGGTCCTTTATACTTCAGCTGTTTTTTCTAGCTATATTCAATGTTCCTTCACTCTTCCTCAAACTCCTCTAAGAGAACAGAATCAACATTCCAAAAAAAATTCCAAGAATTAGAGGAATTTTGACACACATTGAATTGTGTAAAATATCTTGCCACTGGTTTTAAATCAACATCTTTTAGCACTTGTTTAAATTCTGTTGTGAAATGCAACCCTGAACCCAAAGAGTCCACAACTATGATTTTAAAACAGCAATTTGTAAGCATACAGTGACATAAATGTTAAATCCTCAGGGATGATTAGGGTTAATTTTTGGATCAATGGGAAAACTACTATTCATGTCAGTAAAATGTTTTCATTTTGATGCATTGGTGGCATTGGCAGGGAGTTTGCTCTCAGGTAATTGCATCACACCTGAAAATTAAAATTCCTTAGGCATTTATTTCCTCCTTTTCCATTCTAAAGACATACCCAAAACCTTTTAATGAAGGAAGAACACCAGTAATTGCTTCCAAAGCCTCATGACCTCAAAGCTTGCTAATGGATCTGCAAAGTAGCAGCAACTAAATATACTGAAAACATGTATACATGTCAGACCTTTCTCTCTAAGCAGTGTTAAATAAATGCAACACCTCCCAGGTTTTGACTCATTTTACAGTGGTGACTCCCATGGACTTTGTAATCTGTGGATTGCCAATCTGTTGGAATCAAAACTTTCAATTACAGATGAACACCTGCTCTCCCTTCTGATAAAACATGCTGAAATATTAAAAGACAGGAAGATTCAACTCACTTTCTGGTTAAGTTGTCTAAACAAGTTTTGATGTAGGTGTTGTAATAATTAATTTGTTCTTCATAAAATGCTGTCTTGGAGTTAAGTGCATTCAGAGTTTGCTGGAGTTTCACCAATTCAGCTTTCCGGTGGTGTCTGTATCTTCTTTGATTCCTGATATCCTAAATAAATTAAGGTAATTGTTTAATTAGTCTCGTATTTTAAGAAGTCTCATCTTATTGCCATTCAAATCTGTAATTACACAACCTGACAATAACTGAGAGAAAGCATGAACCATCATGATAGTTCTCACAATCACAGTACCCCTAGTGAGTCCTACAGTTTACATGGCAATCACATTGCTCATCATCTATACAAGTGGTGGTGTCTTGATTCTGCTGTGGTCTACAGAGCATAACAGACATGGAAGTCATAAGGAAGATGTAATCTTTGCACTAAAAATGGAAAATTTCTGGTAGCTATTTTCTGGTGAGAGGCCTGAGAAATAAGAGCTTGGGCTTCTACGAGGTAAGAACTAGCTACTGCTAAACTACAACTTGAGTTGAGGTGGTCGGACTGAAATAACAAGAACTTCCAGTTCTAAGGCTCAAGGCAATCTCCAGATTGGATAGGCAGGAAGCTGAACATGAGCCAGCAGTGTGCTCAGGTGGCCAAGAAGGCCAATGGCATCCTGGGCTGGATCAGGAACAGCATGGTCAGCAGGACCAGGGAGGTGATTCTGCCCCTGGACTCGGATAAGAGAAATAAATGAGAATGGGGCACTAAATATCTACATAGAATATTTTTTCCTCAAGTAGATACCTGAACCAAGCAAAGTTTAAAATGGTACTTCAGAGCAGCTGCAACATGCATTCTTTATTGCAGCGACCTAACTCAAGTGAGTCATTTACTCATCCATATATTCAAATATATTTTCATCTTTAAAAAATATTATTTCATAGAATTATAGCATTTTAGGAGTTGGAATGGACCTTACAGATCATCCAGCCGCAACCCCTTGCCCTGGGCAGGGTCACCGCCTCACTAGATCAGGTTGCTCAAGGCTCATCCAGCCTGGCCTTGGACACTGCCAGGGTTGGGGCAGCCACCACATCCCTGGGCAACCTGTGCCAGTGTCTCACCACTCTCACAGGGAAAAACCTTTTTCTGATATCTAACCTAAACTTCCCCTCCCTCAGTTTGAACCCATTTCCCCTTATAACAGGTCAATCACTCACATGAGCTACAATTAATTTACTCTTGAGTAGTTAAAGATAACCCAATACACTAAGATTCTTACAGCCGGTATGGAGTGGGCGTGAAATAGGAGCTGCTGATTTGTGGACAACAGGCCCTGTGCTTTATCAGTGCCCAATATTCTTCTTGTGTCCTGCCCAGCCACAGCAGATCAGTGTTCATACCAATCAGAGGATATTTCAGCGGTTTCTAAAGGTTTTTTACACATTACCAAGACTACATCAGTTCTTAACTCAAACACCATAGGATAATTCCTCTTGCTTTCAAAATATAAAATGAAACATATTGTAGTGGAGATGTCACAACAGCATCAGCATCAAACCTGGATAACAAAGATTACAGTATTATTCAGTTCAGGCACTTATGCAGGAGTGCACTGGTTTTCACTTATTTTGTCAGCAGAGATGATTTACTTCATATATGGGCACTTCAGTGATTTAGTGTACTGTTCCCTGAATAATATGTACTGTACATCTCTAGGTGGAATGGATTTAGCCTAGATACCTAAAAATACCTTCAATACACAGGGAAACATGTTCAATTTACCTTCGCAATCTCATTTATGATTTCTTGATACTTAGTTGCTGAAGACACTAGTCCTGCTTGTTCCAACGTTCGGAGGTTCCTCTGGATTTTCCTTTTCTTTTGTTCTATTGGTAGCTGACCATCTTCAAAAACAGACTTACTGTGCTTCATTTTCTCTGGAGTTTTGGAATCTAGGATGGCACGCTTCTCTACAAGTTTCAAGTGCTCAGATTCCTAGATAAAAATAATCCAGAACTGTTATTTTACTATTTATGGTAACTGTTAAGCCTTCAAGTACATTGAATTCTCAAAGGACATTACCAAGAATCAAGGTACAGGCTTTATTTATATCCTCTCACCACATGGTCTTGAAGTGCTCCATTTGCTATGCCTTTTGGACATGCCTGAAGTAACTAATCACAACACCTAGACCTATATTTCAGTTAATCAAAGGGTCTAAAATCATCCAGACAAGTCAATGACTTCATTGAGTTGTGGGAAGACTGTCCAGATCTCACAGATGTCTCCTATATATGCACACACTGAGATGACCTAAAATGGGCACACTTTGGAGACACTGATCCACTAAGCACATTACAGATTTGTGTATTGGTATCTACTAGAAAAATTCAGCTGGGAGCTCTTCCCACTCAGTTCCCAGAACAAGGATAGCAGTAGTTTCCCAGGCAGAGGTTTGTTTGTATCGATTAAGCAAATAAACAAGCAGTGAACTTGAGTTAAGATACTGAAGTTCATGGGGAAAAAACAAAAAGATGTAGCAGAAGGATTCACCTCAGGCTATTCGGTTGTATTATAACATAAGAGAGAAGATATCCTGCTACATAAAATGTAAAAAAAAAAAATTCTAGTTGTTCTAGCTGTCAGCAAGAGGTAACTTTTCTTGCCCTTTAAAGCTGTTCCAAATCATACAGTAAAAACATGTTGCAAGTCTCACATTTTGAAGGCTCTATATCTGAACAGACTAAAACCAGCAACAATAATTTAATTGTTATAAAGTGGTGGAGAAACCTGTCAGAGACCTGTTAAGGCTTTCAAATAGCTGTAATAAAATACATACTTTATTCCCTATTCAGGCACAGGGTAGCACCTACCTGTTGTGCAGTGGCTGGTGTTTCTAGTATTTCTAAGAGTGTATCCCCAGGTTGTGTTCGTATCATATCCACAATTAGTCTTTTGGTCCTTTTGGAAAGGATAAATGGGTATTATAAGACAGTTGTCACTCGATCAATTGTGCATGTCATTTCTCCAACCATAAAAATAGCAAGCTCCCCCTTTATTATGGATTCTTGGTAAAGTTTATGTTTCCTAGATTTTTATGTTTCAGATCTTCCACTGACAGTGTTGAACATCTGGTTTCTACACAGGTCTGAATAGAGAAGACCTGAAAACTTCCCTCCTTTTATTTTAGAAAACACACAACCAGCTAGCACAGTAGAACGCAAGCAACAACTCACATGTGGATTTTAATTGTTATCGTGGCAAAACGGCAGATAGGAATGTGATCTTTGAAAAGCCTGAGCAACTCATGATTCCATAAAGGGTTATATTTACCGAATAAAGTGGAAATGCACTAAAAACTGCTGAACTCTGAGGAAATTTTGCATCTGACGCAGTGCATTTACACAAACCACTTAAGGGCAGATATTTCTCTGGGAGCAACAGACAAACAGCATTTCCTTGCTAAAAACAGGGAAGCTGCTGCACCCTGATATGCAAACCAGTTCTTTTTTTGGCAAGAATTTATCACATTCTTGCTGCCTACTTCATCCATAGTACTTCCAAGAACATCCTGCTACAGAATTCTATTAATTTAGAGGTCAGGGTTATAGATATAGCTCAATGTTCTTAAGAATTGTCAGTAAATTGAAGTGGCAGCTGAATTTTCCAAGAAAGATGTCTAAATATGATCAAGATTTCTGTGATAAAACCTTATGACCTGGTTTAAAGTGATAGTTTAGGTATATACAGTTGGAGTTTTGGTTAGTGTTTTCAGGACTAGAAATTCTCAAAAATGCAACAGAATGGGACATTTATTTACTAATATCCAGGCAACATTACACATAACCACTGAGTATTTGGGTATGACCTACGCTTCCATGGAAAGGGCAGCAAAGCAGCACAGGCAGACCTGAATCACTGCTCTTTCCACGTCAGAAAGCAACTTGCTAAACCTCCTGGAAACTAATTCGCTCATCCAGAGCTTCTGTTAACTGCACTGAGCAGTTGTCACGTTCAATAGCTTTTGAAGGACTGGTGTTAAAGGTATTTTTCCTTCACAAACTCTCTTGGAATCTCTTCCAGTTTGCCATGAAGAAACTAAATAAAACAAAACAAGCAAAACAATAAGAAAACCAACAAAAAAAAAATCAAACTAGAAAGGGTCTCCTAAATCTTGTTCATTTGGGTTATATCAACTCATTGCTGGCTTCTGCCTGACACAACTGTTGTCAGGCTTTGGTGGTCATCACCATAGTCTACATGATGTATGTGGGACCGTGTTGCTGTTTTATGCATTGCCTTTGAGACAGGTGCTGATATGGCTGATAAGACACAAGGCTTATTTTCACTTGCTCACCCTTGAGCTTCCTCTCTCCACGTAACAAACATGCTCAGCTCTGCTTTTTTTTCAGAAGCACCCACCCTGAGGCTTCACAAGCCACTTGGTGTGCAACACCAGCATGCCCAAACCATGCAGAGTGGGCACCTTACATTGAGTCCCCTGGACAGGGCTACCAACAGATATTAAGGTTCTTCCCAAAAGTCTTAATCAAACCAATTTAGAAAGCAAACATATCAATATTTCTCTGGAATAGGCATGCCACTTTCAGAGAAACAAGGAACAATTAGCTGTGACTTGAATTTTAGACAGAGGCCTAACATTTCACAGTTGCAGTCAGTGAATCATAAAGGCTGGAAGAGACCTCTAAGATCATCAGGTCCAACCATCCACCAGCACTACTACTGCAACCCCCATCCAGGGATGGTGACTCCACCACCTCACTGAGCAACATTCCACTGTCTGAATATCCCACCAGTAAAAGACTTCTCTGCAGCTTGGATAGGAAAGCTAATCATCCCTACTTAGTCGTGTCTTGTGTAGAAGCTAGCAGTAAGTATTTTAACTACTGATTTTGCTGTAATTTAACACAGATTTCTAAGTATTCTTGTGTCAGATTTCTCGAAAGATGATAAATATTACTTGAAAGCACTTATGCAATAGAAAGTTTAAATGATCTAATTAATTCTCATTATATTGTTTCAACATATTTCCACACAAAGTAGAGCATAAAAGACATTTCTTTTGGCCTTGATTTTGCATATTTTTATGGATTTCATTAAGGAATAGCATTTTACTCCTACACACAGGAAAAAAGGACAGGATATTTTTTTTTTGAAGGGACAGCAGCAGGCAGATCCTTATTACACAATCAGCCTGGCAACAGGTCTAGAGCCTTGGTCTCTGGAATACCAAGAGACTAAAACAGTTATGATTTGACAGTCATAGCAGTCCATCTTGAATCATCATCATCATCCAATCCAACCATTCACCAGCACTTACCCCGTAGCCACTAATCCATATCACCCAGCACCAGACCCAGATGCCTCTTAAACTCCTCCAGGGACGGTGACTCCACCACCTCCCTGGACAATATCCCAGTGCCTGAACACTCTAACAGTGAAAGTTTTTTTTTTCCCCAATATCTAATCTGAATCTCACTGTCTCATCTTATGACCATTCCATCTAGTCCTCTCCCTGCAGCCATGTCAGGAGAGACCATCC